CCCCCCATTAAAAAAAAACCCCACACTCATACTATCATCCCCCTGTTGTCCGTGTCCATTGGTTTGGCTTATATGCATGCATACAAGTCCTTTGGTTGATCTCTTCCCCTTATCCCCACCCTCCCCTACTTTCCCTCTGGGGATTGATAGTCTAATCGCTGTTTCTCTGTCTTTGGGTCTGTCCCTGTTCATGTTGTTCTCTATATTCCACAGTCTATGTTGTTCTCTATATTCCACAAATGAGTGAGATCATGTGGTATTTATCTTTCTCTGACTGGCTTATTTCACTTAGCATAATGCTCTTCAGTTCCATCCATGCTGTTGCAAATGGCAAGAATTCCTTCTTTTTTACCACAGCATAGTATTCTATTGTGTAGATGTACCACAGTTTAATTGGTGGCATTTTTATAGACCAATAATGAACCCTCAGGAAGAGGAACTAAAAAACAATCCCATTTACCATTGCAAAAAAAAAAAAAAAAAGATACCAGGAATAAACTTAACCAAGGAGGTAAAAACCTATACCCAGAAAACTATAGGATATTGAAAAAAGAAGTAGAGGAAGATACAAACAAGTGGAAGCATATACTGTGTTCATGGATTAGAAGAATTAACATAAATAAAATGTCCGTGCTATCCAGAGCATCTACAGGTTCAACACAATCCCTAATCAGCTGCCAATGGCATATTTCACAGATCTAGAACAAATATTCCAAAAATATATATGGAACCAAATAATACTTTGAATAGCCACAGTAACTCTGAGAAAGAAGAAGAAAATTAGAGGGATCACAATACCAGATTTCAAGTTATACTACAAAGCTATTATAATCAAAACAACCTAGTACTGGTGCAAGAACAGACACATAGATCAATGGAACAGAACAGAGACCTCAGAAATCAACCCAAGCCATTACACTCAATTAATATTTGACAAAGGAGACAAGAACATACAATGGAGTAAATGGTTTTGGGAACATTGAGCAGATACTAGTACATGCAAAAAAAAAGAAACTAGAGCGCCAACTTATGCCATACACAAGAATAAACTCGAAATGGATAAAAGCCTTAAATTTAAGTCATAAAACCATAAAAATCCTAGAAGAAACCATAGGCAGTAAAATCTCTGATGTCTCACTTAGCAGAATTTTCAAAGATATATCACCTAGGGCAGTGGTCGGCAAACTGCGGCTCACAAGCCACATGCGGCTCTTTGGCCCCTTGAGTGTGGCTCTTCCACAAAATACTGACTTCTGCGCATGGGCCACGAAATTTCAATCACACTATATGTGCGCGCCCGCACATGGTATTTTGTGGAAGAGCATGTGGCTCGCGAGCCGCAGTTTGCCAGCCACTGACCTATGGCAAGAGAAACAAAGGAAAAAATAAACAAATGAGACCACATCAAAATAAAAAGTTTCTGCACAGCAAAAGAAATCATCCTCAAAATTAAAAGGGAGCACACTATATGGGAGAACATATCTGCCAATGATACATCTGATAAGGGGTTAAATTCTAAAACATATAAAGAACTCATACAGTTTGACAAAATGAAATCAAACAGTCCAATTTAAAAATGGGCAAAAGACCTGACTAGACACTTCTCCAAAGAGGACATAGAGATGGCTGAGACATATGAAAAAATATTCAATGTCACTAATCATCAGTGAGATTCAAAGTAAAACTACAATGAGGTATCACTTTACACCTGCCAGAATGGCTACCATTAATAAATCAACAAATATCAAGCGCTGGTGAGGATGTGGAGAAAGGAGAATCCTAGTACACTGCTGGTAAGAATGCAGACTGGTGCAACCATTGTGAAACAGTATTGAAATAATTAAAAATGGATTTGATTCCCAGTCAAGGGCATATATCTGGGTGGCTGGTTTGATCATTGGCCCCAGTCAATTGATTGCATCTCACCTCTCTCCCTCCTTCCCTCCCTCTATCTCCCCCTCTGTTCCTTCCTCCATCCCTCCCTACCCCTTCCCCCCTTCCATGCTTTCTAAAAATCAATGGAAGGCCTCCTGGTGTAGCTCAGTGGTTGAGCATCCACCTATGACCCACATGGTTTGATCTCCAGTCTGAGCACATGCCTGGGTTGCAGGCTCGGTTCCCAGGGGGGAGCATGCAGGAGGCTGCCAATCAATTATTCTCTCTCATCATTGATGTTTCTGTCTCTCTCTCTTCCTTCTAAAAATCAATGGAAAAATATGCTCTGGTGGGGATTAAAAAAAATCCTATCTAATAAAGCAGAAATATGCTAATTGACTCTCATACCATCGCAAAAGATGGCAGCGCCCACAGCCAATAAGGAGGGAATATGCTAATTGACTGCCACACCCTAAAAGATGGCAGCTCCCACAGCCACAAGATGGCAGCGTCCAGTCCCCTCATCCCCGCCAGAGTGGCAAGCGCGGCAAGGGGGCAGGCCTGGCCTTGCCGCACACCTGCCTCTGGAATCCCCCAATCGCCCAGGGCTGGCCCGAGGCGCAGGCAAGCCTCGGATGGTGGCTTCCCAGCTGACACCTGAGGCACAGGCAAGCCATGGATGGCGGCTGCCCAGCTGCCCAAGGCCACCTGAGGCTCAGGTAACCAGGGCCGGCCAAGGCTTGTGCTGCCGGCAGTGGCAGCAGCAGAGGTGTGATGGGGCGTTTGCTTCTCCTGATCGCCGGGTTGCCTCTTGCCCCTGAGGGCTCCCGGAATGTGAGAGGGGGCAAGCACATGCACCAGGCCTCTAGTATTTAATAAAATAAAAACCAATGGAAAAAATATCCACTGGTAAGGATTAACATGCACAAAATAATTAAAAATGAACTGTTTCATCCAGCAATCCCACTTCTGGGACTATATCCTAACAATCCTAAAACATCAATCAGAAAGAATATATGCACTCCTATGTTCATAGCAGCGTTATTTACAATAGTCAAGATCTGGAAACAGTCCAAGTGCCTATTAGTAGATGAGTGGTAAAAAATGCTGTGGTACATTTACACAGTGGAATATTATGCAGCTGTAGAAAAAAAGAAGGATCTCTTACTCTTAGAAACAGCATGGAGGGATCTGGAGATTATTATGCTAACTAAATAATATAAGTCAGTCAGAGAAAGACAGATATCACATGATCTCAATTATATGTGGAATCTAATGAACAGAATAAACTAACGAACAAAATAGGTCCAGAGACATGGAAGCATGGAACAGACTGACAGATCTTACAGGGAATGGTGGGGTGGTGCGGGGGGAGGAGGGAGGATAAGAAGAGATTAATCAAAGAACTTACATGCATATATGCAGAGCCCATGGGCACAGATAACAGTGCAGTGAAGGCCTGGGATAGGACAGGAGCCAGGAGGAGTGGAGCAAAGGGGTCAGGCAGGGAATGGGATGCATCTGTAATACCCTCAACAATGAAAATAAAGTTTAAAAAATCTTTGAGAGGTAATTCTAATATCTGTCATCTCACTGTTGGCATCTATTGATTATTGATTGATTGTCTCTTTTTTATTCAGCTTGAGATCGTCCTGGTTCTCAGCATGAGAGCGATTTTCCCAATAAAACTTACGTTGGGCTTTTTTTTCTTAATGTGTTAGGAGATCTGGGTCTTCTTTAAGCTTTCAGTTATAGGTGGCTTTCTCTGGCATGGTGTTGTCTGTGGGATGGTTTTGCCACCTTGTTAGTACCAGGTTGAGGGGAGTCCAGATTCCCCACTTAGCCCTGCTGACATGTGAAGTAGAGGGAGCTCCTTGTTTACTGGTCAGGGGTGGAAGTTCCTGCAGCGTCCACATGGTCTCCATGGACACTGCATTGGAGGTGACAGTTCTAACTCCCCATTGTGCCTCCTATACTTCCCCATCGGGACAGAGAAAGGGCATTTTGTTACTTCAAGGTGAGGTTGCAAGTCCAGTCTGCCTTTTAGTCTACTGACCCTACAGGGGTGGAGGGGCTCCTTACCATCCGGCAGAAAGGAAAGTCTCGGCTTCCTACGTGGACCTCTCTGACATCATCTTTGTTGGAGTGTTGAGCACCCTGTTACTGTCTCATGAGGTTGGATGTATCCATTCACACTCAGCCTTTGCTGGTAGGGATGGAGATGGAGCTACAGTTTTTCTGTGTAATTTGGTCCCAGTGTGGAAATTGACTGAAGGTTTTCTGTCCTGCTAGGTTGCCCCTTAGCAATTTTATGCAGATAACAACTTGGCATTCTAGACCATTCCTCCTTCAAGACTAATGAAATAAGAGAAACTATACACATGTAAGATAGTTTCATGTAATATGAAAACAGCAGCACAATTTCTCTGGAATAGAATAGGAAGTATTTTATTGGTTGGGGTTTGTTTGGGCTTTTGTTGTTGGGTTGCTAGCTTTTTCGGGTGCAAGTTTGGAATCTGTGAGGCAAAAGGAAAACCCAGTGAACTCATTGTCATGTCTTTTCTCAGATCCCAAAGTCCCTATCTGGTCTGCCTTTGTCTCTCCTCCACTCAGAGTCTTCTTATATTTGTTCTGTATATAATGTCTAGGGGTCCCCATTGTGCTTAGCAGGAGAAATAAGGAAAAGTACATCTACTGCCTCGTCCAGAGTGTGGCAGTTGCTTTTTTCTTTCAAGGCCAGCAGTTGTAACTCTTTATACCAAATCCTCATTCTGAGTATTGCATCCTATGTAAATCTGATGCCACAGGGGCAGAAACAGTGCACCCGTCCTGGTTCATTTGGAGGTTAGCTCACAGTGGATAGGGCTCTGTGCCGTATAGCCAGAGAAACCACATGCTGTTAGGCAGGAGCTCTTGGTCTCCAGTGTTACACTGTCCCTTATTCTGTCTCCCTAGTTATTAATCTTGGTAGTCTTTTCCTGAAAGTCAGTGACTTGGTATTTACATTTTTATTTTACTGTTTTCCCACAGATAAGGTTAGTAATTCAAAGATAATAGATTACTAACATTTCAATTTTATTTTACAAAATACTAAAGAAATTTAAAGTACTGTTTTCCTTATCTAGGCATTGAAGAACAATTTAGGCCTTTTTATTTACATAATTTAGAAGAAGATATAGAAGAGGACGTGCAGAGTTTAAAGGTAAGTAATAGAGCAGATGCTAAAAATGTTAATATATCAGAGCATATATATTTTTAGTCATGAAAACCAAAGCAATATAATGTGTTACTGAGATTGGAGGTAAGCTAGCGTGGTAGCCACATAAAAGAAAATTACCAATTTTATGACGATATCAACTTGGCATTCACATTCTGGGCCCATTCCCTCTTCGAGACTAATGAAATGAGAGAAACTGTACACAGCAATGTGAAAACAGAAGCACAATTTCTCTTGAATAGAATAGGAATTTCCCTAGGTGCATCAGTCAATTGGAAGAGGTCTTGAAAAATAGAAAGCCAACAGAATTACATTTGCTGAAACATGTAACAGAAAAGGCAAAGCTAACCCAGAACACAATGCTGAAGAAGTACCAGAGGAACAAGTCTTGAGTCAATATAGAGAAGAAACAGCATGGCACCTAAGACATTGGCAAGGAGATTACTTGGCGTCCACAGTTGTATCAGTCATACAAGTTGGCTCCTCTCCCTAATTGCCTTGTGCTGAGCAACAAATGGAAGCAGCAGCTGCTTTGGGCTGAAGCGGTAAGTTTGAAGCCTGGAGTCAGAGAAGTGTGTCAAAGACAGTACCAACTAACCAACAAAGGGGAGCAGAGACCTGCCTTTCATACACACTCGGAAAAGGAGCTACTGTCATTAGTCTTCCAGCAATATACTGCTGGAATCATGAAAAGGAGACTACAGTGAATAAAACGGGCAGGCAAATAGCAATTTTAAAATACAAAAAAGGAAAAACATTTGGACAGTTAAGAATTGCCAGACTTTCACACTTTAAAAGAGAGACATCTACTGCAAGCCAAGAAAGCCATCAAAGGGGGATCATGAAAGATAGTCACTAAGGCAGAAAAGCATTAGCACAGTAATCAGTAATAGTTCATATGATAAAAGGTTCAATTCACGAGGTTGATAATAATAGCTTTAAATATGTACATGCTCATGAAAACATGGCCTCAAAGTATGGAAAGCAAAAATTGGCAGAACTCAAAGAAGAAATAGACAAATCCACAATCATAGTTGGAGATTTTAATACAAATTTCCTTCTGATTTGTAGAACAAACAAACAAAATTTGTCAGTAAGGATATAGAAATTTTGAAGAACATAATTAACACATTTGACCTAATGGAAATATCTAAAACAGTGTGTCTGATAACTGCAGAATACTTATCTTTAAAGGCTTTTCTGAACATACAGAACATTTTCACAAATTGACCTTGTACTGGAATATAAAACGAGTCTCAATCAGTTTGAAGAATTGTGATCACATAAAGAGTGATTGCATTCTCTGACTGCATTTCAATTATGCTCGAAATTAATGAGAAGATAATTAGAAAATTCCATTGGTTAGAAGTTAACAAATATACTTTTAAATACCCTTTGGGTAAAAAAAAATAATAATGGAATTTAGAAAATATTTGGAGCTAACAAAATGCTACATATTAAAATGTACATAATTTGCAAAGGAGTACTTAATAGTAAAATATAGTCATTGATTTATATATATATCAAAGTCTGAAAATGAATTAGCCAAACATTCATCTAGAGAAGATAGCAAAATAAATCTAGAGCAAATAGAAAGCAGGAAGAAGAGAAGAGCATAAATTAGTGACCAAAAAAGCAGCTAATAGAGGATCAAAAAATTTAAACGTTGGTTCTTTGAAAAGGCTAATAAAATCAACTAGTTAAGACCAGGGAAAATAGAAGACTGAAATAATGAGTTAAAGAGGCATCACTATAGCTCCTGTAGACATCAATGTGGTATTAAGAGGATATTGTGAACAGCTGTTTGCTTATTAATTTTAGAACTTAGATAAAATGGGCAAATATCTAGAAATAAAGTATAACTTAGCAAAACTGACTCAAATAGAGTTAAAAACCTGCTATTCCTGTAACCACTAAAAAAGATAGAATCAGTGATGGAAAATTCTTCCCATTAAGAAAATTCCACAGCCAGGTAGCTTCATCAATGATTTCTACCAAATATTCAATGAATACATTATTTCAATCTTATAAATTTGTCCAGATAATAGAGCAGAGAACTCTCCCAGACTCATTTTATGAGACTAGCATATCCTTTTTCCCCAGACTTGAAAAAGAAGATACAAGAAAGGAAAATTACAGGCCAATCACACTTAATATAGAAAGATGGTCCTGAATAAAATATGGCCAAATGAGTCCATCAATGGACAATAGAAAAGATATGTGGCCTCATTAATAGAGAAAAGCAGAATGAATTGATTATAATTTTTCATCACTAAGATCAACATTTTTATTTTTATTTTTTTACAGAGAGGAGGGGAAAGGGATAGAGAGTTAGAAACATCGATGAGAGAGAAACATCGATCAGCTGCCTCCTGCACACCCTCTACTGGTGATGTGCCCACAACCAAGGTACATGCCTTTGACCGGAATCGAACCTGGGACCCTTCAGTCAGCAGGCCAATGCTCTATCCACTGAGCCAAACTGGCTAGGGCAAGATCAACATTTTTAAAAGATTGGTAATACCAACTGTTGGCAAAAATGCAGCATAAGAAGCACTCCCCATGCACTATTTGTTAAGAGTGTGAATTGGTTGCCCTAGCCAGTTTGGCTCAGTGGTTGGAGTGTCGGCCCATGGACTGAAGGGCCACAGGTTCGATTCCGGTCAAGGGCATGTACCATTGCAGGCTAAATCCCCAGCTCCAGTCAGGGCATGTGCGAGAGGCAACCAGTGAATGTGTCTCTCTCACGTCAATGTATTTCTTTCTCTCTCTTTCTCTCTCTCTCTCTCTCTCTCTCTCTCTCTCTCTCTCTCTCTCTTTCTTTCTCTGTCTCTCCCCATCCCTTCCACTTACTCTAAAAAAATCCATGGAAAAGATATCCTTGAGTAAGGATGAACAACAACAACAAATGGAGTGTGAATTGGTGAAGTTTATTGAAAATGAAGCATCTATGAAACTTTTAAAAGCATATAATTGTTGTAGCAATTCTACTCTTAATAATCTACACACATGTATGCTCAAAGATTTAGGTCTAGGAGTTCCTTGCACCTTAGTTTTTTAGAGTAAAAAATTGGAAACAACCCAAATAATTTATAAGTAAATATATTAGATTATGATTCATTGAAACTACAGATATATAGCCATTTAAAAGAGATAGAACTGACATATAATGATACAGAAAGATCTTGAAGACTTGTTGTTAGTGAAAAAATGTCAAAATATACTTAAAGTATGATCTCTTTGAATATATGTGTGTGTATACGTACATATGTACATATTTCAAAATACATATGCAAATACCTAGAGAGATTAAAAGGATGAACAACCTACTCTGAGTAAGGATTACCTCTAGGGACTGGAAAAGAGTGTGGGTTGGAAGAAACAACATTCAGGTGTTGCTCTGTGTGACTGAGCACAATTTGAGTCTTTTAAAAGGAATTTGTACTTATATATTTTGTGTAATAAAACATAAGTATCAAGACAAAACAATCCTATATAATAAAACCCTAATATGCAAATTGACCGAACGGTGGAATGACCAGAACGACTGATCACTGTGACGTGCACTGACCACCAGGGGGCAGATGCTCAATGCAGGAGCTGCCCCCTGGTGGTTAGTATGCTCCCACAGGGGGAGTGCTGCTCAGCCAGAAGCTGGGCTTATGGCTGGCAAGTGCAGCGGCGGTGGCAGGAGCCTCTCCTGCATCCACTGCAGGAGGGCGGTAAGGAGTGAGGGGTTCCAGACTGCAAGAGCCCTGGACTGTGAGAGGGATGTCTGCTGGCGGACATCTCCCAAGGGGTCCTGGACTGCCAGAGGGCGCAGGCTGGGCTGAGGGACCCCCCCCCCCCCGCCAGGAACAG